AGACTGGCTATAGAGACTTCGGCCTTAGCTGACCTATAGAGACTACTTGCGCTTCAGCTCGTCTAGAGGGACAGCTTGTGGTTTAGCTCGCCTATATAGAGATAGAGACTCGCTTCAGCTCGCCTATAGAGACAGGGACTCGCTTCAGCTCGCCTATAGAGAGAGAAACTGTGGAGAATACTTGCGCTGCAGTTCATCTGTAGAGATCAGTTGCGCTTCAGCTCGACTATAGCGACAGCTTGGTCTTCAGCTTGCTTATAGGAGAGAGACTCGCTCCAGCTCGCCTATAGAGAGAGACACTCGCTTCAGCTCGCCTTCAGTTCGCCTATAGGGAGAGAGACTCGTTTTAGCTCGCTTATAGAGAAAGAGGGAGACTGGCTATAGAGACTTCGGCCTTAGCTGACCTATAGGCACTACTTAGGCTTCAGCTGACCTATAGAGACTACGTGCGTTTCAGCTCGTCTAAAGAGACAGCTTGTGGTTTAGCTCGCCTATAGATAGAGAGAGAGAGAGACTCGCTTCAACTCGCCTATAGAGAGAGAGTCGCTTCAGCTCACCTCGAGAGAGAGAGAGAGAGACTCGTTTCAGCTCGCCTATATAGAGGGAGACTTGCTTCAGCTCGCCTATAGAGAGAGAGGGGGAGTCTCGCTTCAGCCCGCCTAAAGAGAGGCTAGCTATAGAGACTACAAACTCTTCTCTTATAAATGCTCTGTTCGCCCAAAGAAGTCCCAATCTTGGTCGTGTTTAGATTCTACCTCCCTTCTGGCCAATAAAATCACAAAATTTTTTCCTTGGGTGCATGTGGTAATATATTTCATGACTTGGCTCATATCTTCTCCAATACCCACACTGCCAACATTTGGAACAACAAATCGACATTCAGGCAGGCACTCAGTCGGTTAGCCAGTCAGCTAGCAGCAAAAATACACTTCCTTGTTAGCACATTATCACACTATGACTTGACTTGACTGTGAAACGTGAAAGTGTGAAATGGCACACCAAAACAAAAAACAACAACTACAAATGAACACGAACAAAGTTGGCAAGACATTTACATTCAGACCCGGCTGGACGGTCACAGTCATGACAGTTGCGCCAAAGCAACAAAAAGTGCAAAGACAACAACAAAACGGTGCTCCTTTTGCCAGGGCCAGTTTAAGGAAGCCAAAGTGGGAATGTGCACTGCATTTGCTGGTGGCAAGAAGTTTGGTAAGAAGAGGGGAAGTGGTCGCTGAGACGAAGAATATTAAGAAACTCAAAAAAAAAAAAAAAATGTTTGTGAGTACCTGTGAATGCCTGAATGTTTTTTTTACATTGGCATAGGCTGTTGCGGAATATGCATACCAAATCCAACACAGTTGTTTTTCATATATAATTCCGATGATGTATGGAGAGCAGCAACAGCAACAAAAAATGTATTGGACTTTTTCTTCTTTTTAAATGTTGTTGTTGTTGTTTTACATCATCACCTTGTGTTTTTGTCCGGGCATTGGCACAGTTTTTATAGAAGTGCAGTGCTATTTCGCTGTTGTTTTTTTTTTTTTTTTTGGATTTACACGTTACGTTATGGCGTCAACACCATCAATTTTCTAAGTTCGAGATAGGAGGTTAGGTTAGCTTGTTATTTTCACACCGTCGAATGTATGCATGTATGTGAATGTTGTGAGTGTGTGTGTGTGTGTCTTTGGGCTGCATCCGTTCACGATATGTCGATGCAAACGTACACGAATGAGTTACATATGTTTTGGGTTACAACCTTAACGACAATCCGCAAAGTTGTCATGATGTTATTGTAATTCCTTGTCGCAACAAACAGAACGAGTGTTTTCGTCGATAACGCTTGGAGATGAGATGTTGCGTTATATGAATTCTTAACAAGTTCTTGTCCAACGCCACGGAAGATACAGTGGTGCTAAAAGAGAAATTAATACAGGGTGAGAAGAAAAACTACAACCAACTTCAGACTGCTGTTATTTCTAAGCCACTCGTCCGACTGCTGTTAATTTCATTCCAGTGACAGCTCATTATATTGTTTACAAGCGTACAAAAGCATTTTGGTGAGAATTTTCCGGAAAAAAAGTTATTAGTGATGGAATTCAAGCGTGACAGGGTGATTTCTTTATATTTGGCTGGAGAACCACAGGTGGCTATGGCTAGAGCTCTCCAGAATTGAGATGTGAATAACTCTTTTGTGTCTTGTACCATCGCTTGTTGCCGTGATACTGGTAGCGTAGCCCGACGTCAAGGAAGTGGACGGAAAAAATACAGCAACATCAGCAAAAATGGTTCGAAAAGTAAAGGAGCGACCGAAAAATGGCTCGTGAGCTGAACATATCGCAAAATACCATTCGGCAAATATTGAAAAATGAGCTCGGGGTAAAGACATTGAAATTCCAAAAGGTGCCAGAACTTACACCGCAACAGAAAAAAAAATAGGAAAAAGAGTTGCTTCGCTTGACCGAAAGTGGTGAACTGGCGAATTTGGGTTTCTCCGATGAGAAAACATTCGTTGCCCAGCAGTTTGTAAACAAATAAAATGTTCGTGTTTACTTACCACAGAGGTCAGCTGAAAATGTGCACCTTTGGTTGGCCACCAGAAATTAAGCGCCGGCCATGGTGATGGTGTGGGCCGCCATAACAGTTGATGGTCGCCCTCCGCTTGTATTAATCGACCGTGGCATCATAATAAATGCCGAATATTTTCGCGGAAATATTCTGGAGGGTGTATTAAAGCATTGAGTAAGCAAACATTTTGGCCGCAGTCCTTGGGCATTCCAACAGGACTCAGCACGCGCCATCCAAGAATGTTTACAAAATAAGGTTCCTCCCTTCATTTCCAGTGCACAATGGCCACCAAAATTTCCCGATACCAATCCGTTGGACTTTTGTGTCTGGAGTATTTTGGAAAGCAAGGTTGGCACTAAAAAATACCAGAGTGGCGATCACAGCAAGCAAGCACTTTGCCGGAAATGGGCCAAAGTACCGCAGAGCAACATTCGGGTAGCGTGTGAGGGTTCCATTGGCCGTTTGAAGGCCATAATTTGTGCCAAAGGTGACCAGTTCGAACAAATCTTAACTTATTTTAAAATTTGATGCTATTCCCGACATTTTTTGCATTCATTCAATAAAATTAAAAAAAAAAATGTAAAAATTATGGCGTTAAAACTTGTTGCAGTTTTTTTTTATCTCACCCTATACAATTCGCTAATTTAATCGATTCAGCTCTGCTATAGTGGTCTCCCAGCTGACCTATAGAGAGCTCTCTTCAGTTCGCCCGTGGAAATATGTATCAAAAAATCGTCAAAATACCGAATATCGGGAGGTACAATTATATGCACAATTATATGCACCTGCACATACAATTTTCTGTCATGGACTGTAGTATGAATTACGAACTTCAAATACCAAATTTGAAATAATTCCGGTAAATAATGTCGCTAAAATCATCAAATTTGAAACGATTCCAGTGAATAATGTCGATAAAACCATCAAAATACCGAATATCGGGAGGAACCGTTATATGGGAGATATACGAAGTCGTGAACCTGCATTCGAAAATTTTTGCAATAGGTTGTAGTATCCATTAAGATCTTTCGATACGAATTTTGAAACGATTCCGGTGAATAGTGTCGCTAAAATCATGAAAATATCGAATATCAGAAGGTACTGTTATATGGAGGCTATACGAAAACGTGGACCATTTACGAATTTAACCTGCCTACTGGTAAACTATGAATGTATGCAAAATGTTAGCCTTCTATCTCATTTCGTTCGACAGATAGCGTGATTACAACAAATTCTTTGAATTTTACACTGATCCAGAATATACTTTTTAGGGTCTATTATGAATATTTCGAGGAGTTACAAACGGAATGACAAACTTAAAATACCCTCCATACTACGGTGGAGGGTATAAAAATATAAGCAAAACAATATTGGTTATTTTCAATGTTTATGAACGGGTTATTTAAGATAAATAAGTTGGTAGAGAAAAAAAATCGGATTATGTTTCCGGTTAAATATACGGCAATAGAACCAGTCGCAATTGTTATACTGACAATTCCTGTTATCAGCCAGTTATTTGTGACAAATAAACGAAATAAATGAAATATAAGTTATACAACGATTTAAAGATTTTTGGTTCGTATTTCCGGCTAAATCGATGACAATAGAACCGATTATGAACCGGGTGCTCGATATTCATAACATAGATATTCGGATTCCATGAATTTTTTTATTCGAAAATAATAAATAATAAAATTAAATAGAAGAGAACCGGTTACTTCCAAGTATTTTTTATTCGAAAATAATAAATTTAATAAAAGGAAAAATGGACCGGTTACTTACTACAAAATAACCGGTTGTGAAGTTTTAATAATATTTTAATGAAACGTAAGCAAAATAATATTAAAGACTCTAGTTAGTTTCAACCCTACATAGCTCGGTTTTAAACCGGTTAAAATAACTGGAAAATGGGAAATTGGTGAAACAGAAATCTGTAATTGCTTTAGAAGTCCCTTGATTTTTATTTCAAGCTAAAAAAATTAGTCCCTAATCACAGAACTCAGATGTGAACCCGTTACTTAAGATAAAATAACCAGACGAATGGAAAATTAATGAAACAACAATCTGTGCGTGTTACAAAAGTCCTTCTGTTTAAGTTTACAGCTGCATCGTTGACAGTATAACCTGTTATTTACCGATTATAAACATAGAAGACTATTTGGATGAACCGAATAATCGGAATTCACTTATTTTAAATACAATAAGCATGTTAGTATTTTGGGTTTCATGAATGTATTGGGATTTCTCACTTTTACAGCTAGGAAATGTCGAGTTCTGCAAAATTCGCAGCTAAATCGTTGACAGCATAACCGGTTATTTGCTATTATAAACCGATTCATCAATGGGGATGAACCGAATAACCGGGTTTCATTTATTTTAAATATATTAAACATGTAAATATTTTGGGTTTTCATGTATGAAATAGGATTTCTTACCTTTACAGCAGGGAAATGTCGAGTTCTGCAAGGAAAAGGTAACAAAATTATTTGTTTAATTTTAGAGTATTTTTAAACTTAAAAAAAAGAACTTTTTGAAGGATGGCTTATTTGCTTAATTAACACATCCACAGGGTGTTATGAAAAAAAAACTGCAACCAACTTCAGACTGCTATCATTTCTAAGCAACTCGTCCGACAGCTGTCAAAATTATTTCAGTGACAGATCATTATATTGTTTACTAGCGTACAAAAGCATTTTGGTGAGAATTTTCCAGAAAAGGAGTTATTCATGATGGGATTCAAGCGTGATAGTGTGATTTCTTTATATTTGGCTGGAAAACCACAAGTGGCTATAGCATTTAAATGTGAATAAATCTTTTGCTCCATAGCTCGTTACCTAGTGACACTGGTAGCGTAGCCCGAGATCAAGGAAATGCACGGAAGAAACATCAGCAACATCAGCAGAAGTGGTTCGAAAAGTAAAGAAGCGACTTGATCGAAACCTGCGTTGCAGTGGCCGAAAAATGGCTCGTGAACTGAACTGATATCGCAATATTCCATTAGGAAAATATTGAAAAATGAGCTCGGGGTAAAGCCACTGAAATACCAAAAAGTGCAAGAACTTACACCGCAACAAAAGGAAATAGACTCAAAAAAGCTGAAAGTTGCTTCACTTGACCGAAAGTGGTGAACTGCCGAATTTGGTTTTCTCCGATGAGAAAATATTAGTTGTCCAGCAGTTTGTAAACAAACAAAATGATCGTTTTTACTTGCCAAAGAGGTCAGCTGAAAATGCAGCTGAAGTGATGGTGTGGGCCGCCATAACAGCCGATGGTCGCTCTCTGCTCGTATTAATCGACCGTGGCATCAGAATAAATATTATAGCGAAAATATTCTGGAGGGTGTATTAAAGCCTTGGGGGCATGTAAAAATTTTGGCCGCAAACCTTGGACATTCCAACAGGACTCAGCACCCTTGCACTCAGCACGCGCCACCCAAGAATTGTTATAAAATGAGGTTCCTCGCTTCATTTTCAACGCACAATGGCCATCAAAATCTCCGGGTACCTATCCGTTGGACTATTGTGTCTGGAGTATTTTGGAAAGCAAGGTTGGCACTAAAAAATACCAAAGTGTCGATCACCTCAAGCAAGCGCTTCGCCTTGAATGGGCCAAAATACCTCAGAGCAACATTCGGGCAGCGTGTGACGGTTTCATTGGCCGTTTGAACGCCATAATTCGTTCCAGAGGTGACCAATTCGAACAAATCTAAACTTATTCTAAAATTTCCGACATTTTTTTCACTTTCAGTCAATAAAATTAAAAAAAATTTAAAAATTATGACGTTTGACTTTGTTGCAGTTTTTTTTATCTCCCCCTGTAATTTACATTTTTATACCCTCCACCTTGAAAAGGAGGATATATTATATATTATTTGATGATTTTAGCAACATTATTCACCGGAATTGTTTCAAATTTGGTATCTAAAGTTCGTAATGGATACTGCAGCCTATGACTGAAAATTGTCTGTGCTTGTTGTTGTTTCAAATTTGCTATTTGAAGTTCCAAAGGAATACTACAGCCTACGACAGAAAATTGTCTGTGCATGTCCATGTCTTCTTATAGCCCCCATATAACGGTAGCTCCCGATATTCGTAATTTTAATGATTTTAGCGACGTTATTCACCGGAATTGTTTCGAAATTGCTAATTGAAGTTTGAAATGGATGCTACAGCCTAAGACAGAAAATTGTCTGTGCAGGTCCACGTCATCATATAGCCCCCATATAACTGCACCTCCCTATTTTCGGTATTTTGATGATTTTAGCGACATTATTTACCGGAATTGTTTCAAATTTGGTATTTGAAGATCCAAAGAGATATTACAGCCTGACATAGAAAACTGTCTGTGCAGGTCCACGTCTTCGTATAGCCCCCATATAACGGAACCTCCCGATATTCGGTATTTCGATGATTTTAGCGACATTATTTACGTAGTCGTATAGACCCTAATATAACTGCTAAATTTAGTATTTTTGAGATATTTATTTTATTTTATTTATTTTTTTTATTTATTTATTTTTTTTTTTTTTTGAAAATTTCCAAATTCGGTCCGTCCAAACTTTCAGCTTTTTTACATGTTAAACTTCAAACAAACTTTATGAAGGGTGGCTTATTTATGTAATCGATACATCTATTTCCACTAATGAATCCATAATGACCTCCTCTTCGAATGCAAATTATAATAATTTACAATAAATACGCGTAGGTATGTGTGTTTAGAAGCATTGCTAAAAATATAATGTTTAAACACTCTAATAATTCGAAATACAAAATAAACATATTTTTATTGAATTACAATAAGAACAAACACAACAAGGTATATGCAAAACAGCTAGCTGGCTATACAATGTTTCTAATGCAAATTAATGGCCAACCAAACAAACCCTCGATGCGTTTTTCCCCTTTTCAACATTATGGATGGGGGGCTTAGGGGTTGTGCAAATGACGACGACAATGACTACGACGAAAAAGTCACTGACCGCATCAAGTGCACTTGTAGGAAAATGTTTGCATCAAAGGACGTTCGTAACAGTTTTGAAATTGAACATGAAATACGGTTTGGCAAACTTGGTTGCCCTCACAGAGAGAGAGAGAGGGAGAGGGTAAAGGGCAATGCAAGAGGGGTTTTTAGTTTGCCATTAACAAAAATGTGAAAAATATGTCTGGGGTTGGTTTAGGGTTTGCCCTGCAATGATTCGAGGAAACCAAAGACCCCTCACCCTGCCCTACAAAATTCTCTTCGCACACAAAAACTTTTCCTTTGATAGTTCTGCCAAGCCAAGGAAAAGCCATAAATTATTTTCTTTTCTTTGGTAAAATTAAAATCCAGCCACTAAGACATACTTTGTCGCCGTCTCGTTGTAGTCATTGTCTGTGTGTGTGTTGGCGATTTTGACGTTGCAAGCGATACAGCAACAACAAAAATATGAAAAAAACAAGAACAATGTGACCGTTTTGCAAAATTTATATTCTGTGGATGTCAACATTTAGCAATGACCCAGTAATGGATTTTCATGTTTTATTGAACTCTAAACTACTTTTCTTTGCAAGCCAGCACCAAATTTTTCTGGCCAAGTGATTTTAAAGAAAAAATTATTGCAAAAAAAAAAATTACACAAAGAAGAGGAAGCAGTAGCAGCTCAAATGATAAAGAAATTCTACCCCAACTATTCTGATTTCTTATAGGAAATGTCATCTATAGTTTGTAAATTAAAAGAAGGTCATATCTAAAACAAGTAAAAAAGCTGTAAGTTCGGCCAGGCCCTCCACCATTTGGTAAGAATTTAAAAATTTTCAAAAAAAAAAAAAAAAAAAAAAAATGATTTTAAAATTCTGTTAAAATCGTGTAGCCGTATATTAGAATCTATATGGCGACGTGGACCTGCATAGGCAACTTTTGTCACAAGGAAACTTATATCACAATATTCAAATGCGAAACTTGAAAAAAATCTGTTTATAATGTAGCTAAAATCGTCAAAATCGTCGAATATAGGGAGGTAGGTACCATGGTGGTTATAAAACGTGGATCTGCACACAAAATTTTTTGTCATAGGCTGTTATATCGAACTTCACGAACTTCAAATGCGAAATTTGAAACAATTCCGGTAAATAGGTTCGCTAAAATCATGAAAATACCGAAGATCGGGAGTACCGTTATATGGGGGCTATCCGAAGGCGTGGTCCTGCACAGACAATTTTCTGTGATAGGCTGTAGCATTAATTACGAACTTCAAATGCGAAATTTGAAAAAATGCCGGTAAATAGGTCCGCTAAAATCATGAAAATACCGAAGATCGGGGGTACCGTTATATGGGGGCTATACGAAGACGTAGACCTACATGGCTTATTTTCTGTCTTAGAATGTAGTATCCATTACGAACTTCAAATACCAAGTTTGAAGCAATTCCGGTAAATAATATGGCTAAAATGATCAAAATACCAAATATCGGGAGGTACTTTTATATGGGGGCTATACGAAGACGTGGACCTACATTGCCCATTTTCTGTTTTATGCTGTAGTATATATTAAAAACTTTAAATACCAAATTTGAAACAATTCCAGTAAATAACGTAGCTAAAATCATCAAAATACCGAATATCGGGAGGTACAGTTATATGGGAGCTATCCGAAGACGTGGACCTAAATGGCCCATTTTCAATACCAAAAGTCCTGCAGACATAGTACACATTTGAGTAAAATTTTATCAACCTACTTCATTTCGTTCGGAAGCTAGAGTGATTTCCACAGACGGACAGACGGATAGACGGACAGACGGATAGACGGACGGACATTGATATACATACATAGAATTTTATGCTGATCAAGAATATATATACTTTGTGGGGTCTAAAATGTATATTTCGAGGTGTTACAAACGGAATGACAAACTTAATATACCCTCCATACTATGGTGGAGGGTATAAAAGTAAGAGTAGATTTTTACTTGAAAGTGGTGTTAAAATTGGATACGGTACTTGAATCCGGAATGCCAAATATGTCAAACCCATATCCTGACTCTTACGGGAACCACGACGCCTATATGTGAATTGGTGATACTTAGCAAAGACATGAACCGCGTGACAAAGGAGGTTCTTATACCCTCCTTATGAAGTTTGTGACACCTGGAAACATACATTTTAGACTCCACAAGGTATATATTCTTGATCTGCACAAAACTCTATGTCGATGTAGTGATGTCCATCCATCAGTGAAAATCAACGTATCTTCCGAACGAAATTAAATATTTTGATGAAACTTTACTCAGATGTGTGTTAGAACTGCAGAACTTTTGGTATTGAAAATGGGCTATGTAGGTCCACGTCTTCGTATATCACGCTACCCTACATTCGGTATTCTGATCATTTTAGCGACATTATTTACCGAAATGGTTTCAAGTTTCGCATTTGAATAACGTATTGGCCTTTGACAAGAATTTCACATGTACCTCACTATAGTCGGTA